ATGCTGTGAATTAAGTTCTGGTTAGGGTTAACTATAGACCAGTAATGGTTAATTTTACTAGTTAGGTTTATTGGTATGCTGTGAATTAAGTTCTGGTTAGGGTTAACTATAGACCAGTAATGGTTAATTTTACTAGTTAGGTTTATTGGTATGCTGTGAATTAAGTTCTGGTTAGGGTTAACTATAGACCAGTAATGGTTAATTTTACTAGTTAGGTTTATTGGTATGCTGTGAATTAAGTTCTGGTTAGGGTTAACTATAGACCAGTAATGGTTAATTTTACTAGTTAGGTTTATTGGTATGCTGTGAATTAAGTTCTGGTTAGGGTTAACTATAGACCAGTAATAGTTAATTTTACTCGTTAGGTTTAGAGTTATGGTGTGAATTAAGTTCTCGTTAGACATCTGGTGAAAATTTCATGTCATTAGCACCTCTAGTAATATATTTACTGAGAAAAATGGTGACGTGTTCAATACTTATTTTACCCGCTGTAGTTATCTAGAAGTAAGTGCATGTCAACATGTCATGTCATCTTGCATTAGCAAATTTTTCAAAATATATGTTCATGAAGACCGTTGCATGGTCTCTCAGAGTCATATTTACAGTTTAAAATCAACGACAGCAACTTGATATCCACTAAAATAATCCATGTGAGTGTAGACGAGCTGAACATCCGTCTGCTATCTTTCACTTGTTCCAGAGTCAGATCACAGGGGCAGCAGCTTGTGCAGGGAGGCTCAGACATGTCTTTACACACTCAGCTCTTCCAGGTCCTCTGGGAGGATTCCAAGGTCCAGTCCAGCCAAGGGACACATTGTCTCCAGTATGTCCTTGGTCTCCTCCCAGTCAGACACGACCAGAAACCCTTTCTACAGATGTGCCCAGGGGTTGTGCTTACCAGATAACCTGGCTCCTCTGAATGTGGAGGAGGAACAGCTCCACTCAGTCTCTCAGGGGTAGCTGAACTGAATTATGAGGATGGGTGAATGAGGCCACAGATTAGCTGGTTGGTTAGAAAGGTGCTATATACAAGTACAGTCTATTCAACACTTATTTTCAAGGTTTTTTAATTYCTCAATAAAATGGGGCTCTCAATCTAGAATATCCATTCCTTCAAGGATCACTAGGTCCTTCATTTTTATCAAAGAGCCATGTGAAGAACATTCTCCTGTCTTTGGTTCCACAGTTACATTAGTAAAGTGGACGTGCTCAAGATCCTAGTGACGGCCAATTATAAATTCATTCCTTCTCTGGACGACATTCTGGAGATGTCAGCTGTCACTCGTCTCCGTAATCAGCTACTGGAAACAGAACACTACCAGCTGGCAGTAGAGGTGAGTTTGTTTGTGTGATTTATAAAAACTGAACACCACTGATGTTATTTAGTGTCTGATTTATAAAAACTGACCACTGATGTAATTTAGTGTCTGATTTATAAAAACTGAACACCACTGATGTTATTTAGTGTCTGATTTATAAAAACTGAACACCACTGATGTTATTTAGTGTCTGATTTATAAAAACTGAACACCACTGATGTTATTTAGTGTCTGATTGTTTGCCATCTTTCCCAGGTGTCGACCAAGAGTGGCCTGGACCCCAGTGGGGTGTGGCAGGCTTGGGCCCTTGCATCCCTGAAAGCAGGAAATCTTTCAGGAGCATGGGAGAAGTTCACCCGCTGCATGAAGGCTCCAGTGGACCGGAACCAGCTAAGCCTCGGTCCAGTTCTGCTGCAGGAGATCRTTCAGCACCTGGAAACAGCTGTACGGCCATCCCAGACCACCGTAAGGACCTTCTGCCTTGTTCTGTGTTCAGACAGCTGTACTGAAGYCTCCTGAAGAGTTCTGATGCTGTGGACTGGATGTTATTCTACCCTTTACTGTTGTTGCCATGCTTCATCCTGCCATTTTGTTTTTATCTGAAAGATATAAATTCACTTCCAGCATAGCTCTGAATCATGACAGTTTAAAGGGATCCCTGATTAGTTGTAACATTAGACTTTATTTAATAAACACATATTTTAATTGTAAAATAAAGACTGTAAAAATACTGTAGGCTATTTACTTTTGTACATTTTTAAAATATATATTTTACATGGACGGGGCCATTTTATTTGCACACAAAGCATTCTGGGTAAATGATGACGTGGATAGGTCCTCGGTGCGAGGCTGCTAGCGAGCT